GCCTGCTACCATGCTACCCAGCAAGCTGGGCACAAACACAGCTGATGAAGACATTGCTGGATGTCCCAATGCAGTTAGAAGTCCACTCAGTTCCGCTATCCGCTATCCGCTCAGTTCATTGCAGTTAGTACAAGAGATCTTCAGCAGGTGGAGCAATGGACAATGTGGGGAAGAGGGCATGTTTGAGGAGTCCAAATAGTGGGCCCTTGTGCAACGACTATTGGATAGGTATTTGGAAAGCGCAGCAGACCATTCTTACCCTCATTTGAAGATCAAGCCCATGTGTCATCGTCAAGATCAGATCCTTCTGAGGAACGCTTGCATTTGGCTTGAAATAACTATCCCCATGGACAATGGCTTGAAGCAACCATCATGCTTCTATCTGCCCTACCTCCCAACTTTATTTCCACATAGACAGCCCATCGCTCACTGTGTTGAGCAAAAGTTCACTGCATTCCATGCCTTGTGTTTCATTGAGGTGATGGACATCAACAAGAACATCTTGCATATCTGGTTACAGCATCTAGTTTTGTGTAGCCTCAGCACATGACCATGCAGAACTGCACATTGCTTGTTGGATGCCAACTTTTTGCCCTTGTGCAGTCTTTTCAATGGAAGGATTCTTGACGAGCAAACCGTTGACATGCCATCCAACAGGTTACCCTGGTGGTCTGAAGACACACACGGCACGGCAAGTGTTTGACAAGAAACCTGAGCAAGTGCTGCGTGCTGCTGTCAGTGGGATGCTCCCAAAGAACACATTGCGCAAGGCGCGCATGCGCAAGCTGAGGCTGTTCCCTGGGGACGAGCACCCGTTTGCGCCCTCAGATCTCGTGCCCTGGGAAATGCCTCCACGAAAGCTGAGGGATAAGGGCATAGGGTGGGCGCTTCCCGAGGGTTTCGAACCCATGAACGCAGATGCGTACTTGAAGCGAGTGAAGACGAGCAGACATAGAGCAGAAATGGAGGGGAGGGCTGCAGAGTGGGGACAGGATATTGAATAGATGGGCAAAGGTGGGGTGCAGCAGGGTGCAGGCAGCATCTGAGAAGGCAGCCTGACATGCTCCGAAAATAGGCGCAGGACCAAGGTTGACTATCTGAATTAATTGCGCTGGATGAAGTGTGTCCCAGTTTCCAGAAGTCCAGCCCAAAATCACTCCATCCATGTCTGACTTTGTTCAATTGGGCTTTTGGATCAAGTTCTGCTGCAGTAAACACACCTCCTGGCTGGGAAATCCTGTCAAACTAAGCAGCTCTGTGGCCATGGGCTTCGGAGCATGACAGTCTTGATGGGCATGTGACAATTGAGCTTCTTGGAACTTTGTGATGCCCATCGTTGCCTGTGGGGTGGAACAGGCTAACAAGTCAGGCACCACATCGAGCTCCATGTTCAGCTGTGCAACCTTGATGGTCATGCGTACAGCATCCAAGTGGTGGTCCCTGGATTCATCCTTGGAAGGTTGTTTTGCTGTTCAACATATGACATGCAACGGCAAAGTGATCAGCACAAGAAGCCGGCAGTGGACTGATCAGCTCTGGCAATATCAGATGGTGCCAGAATGTTGTGAAGAAGAGCTGAGTCAGAGACACTGGGAGTCAGAAACTCTTGCCACACCCCTTCATTGATGGGACGACATCAATTTTGGATCTGTGGGTGGAGTCTTACTACTGGCAGTTGTGTTGGGTGTTCTTCGTGATGCCGTTGGCAGTCACTATGACTGTACCTAACGCTGTGCTGACTTGGTACCGCTACACACGATCTCCCCAACTGTACTGCGTTGCAGGGACAAAGGAAATGTACACAGACACGCACACTTTATTTAAAATATGAATGTTGGTGTTTGTGCACATCTGTAATGTTGCGCGATCTAGATAAACTCATCCACAATAGGGGCCACAACTTGTCATGTCAGGACAAACACTGAGGAAGTAGGTCAGAAGCTGCACTAGCTTTTGTGGCTGTGCGTTGTCTTCGGTTGCATTTATGCAGATGGACAAAGCGCTTTAATTGTTGATGATGACTGCCGATCTCCTCATAGGTGTGGTCAATCGCCCAGCCAGATTCAACTACGGGCACACTTACAATGGTCCCAGCAACTGTGTTCAGCCCTTCGCAAGGAGATGTTTTTTTTGCCCTTGCAGTTGTCCCGTGGTAGCAGTTACTAATTATGAGATGGCGAGGAGGTGAAAGCCATGGCTACCGGTGTTGTTATTGGTGAAGCATTATTCCCAAAGCTCTGCACGATCTTTCGACGGGAATCGCGCACTTTGTGATGGTTTTCCATATGGTGGTGCTGAGTTGGTGGTTTCCAGCTAGGCTAGCCGGGCTGACAGCATGGAGCAACGGGACAACGCCCAGTCTTATCTAGCCTTGGTAGCGAACGAACGCCTTTCAAGGACGAAACTGCAAATTTGCATCACTCCGCACAGCTCTGCGTCTCCACGAAATGCGCGCTGACAGCCAATTGACCGACCCTCGCAGTTGTGCCCGCGAGCGCCACGACTAGCCTCTCCAGCAATCGCTTGCACACTGACTCAAGCAAGGAAACGAGGTGGCATTGCGCTGCCAGGCCCACCCAGCCTCGCACCCGAGGATTGCAATTGTCTTTGGTATCCTTGCAATTGTCTTTGGTATTGCGCACATTTTGACTATTCAGTCCAATGCACACTTGTTTCCTGCTCCCTTCGAGCGCCAGCGTTTGAGTGCGACAAGAACGATGCCTTTGGACCGCTGCCCAAGCCACCTAGCATCTTTCCATGCTTCAACGGCCTCTGGAGGGGTGATACGGAATGAAAAATAAAGTTGGGCAACGCTGCTAAGGCAAAATGCAGAAGAATAAAACCTTAAAATTGACACAAAATTTCTAAATGCGGAAACGCTAGGTATACTATGGTAACACTCTTTCTCCAGGAGTGGTGACAAGCATGCTTCTCAGACCATATCCTTATTCAGAAATGGTCTTTGAAATACGTTTTTACAGGAATGATGCAAAACCAAATTTCACATATTTCACACCAATTTCTTGCACGGAAACTGCATTATGGAAGAGACTATGTCGATTTTGGTGCGCTTAACGTCAATTTGACGCTCAGCCCAGACCCCCCGGCATACACTACTGAGCGCGATATGTGGACCAACAGTGCGCTCTTCTGCTTTTGTTCCTTGTGTTGTTCCGGGGCTCCCTCCCATAGCGCCTGCAATAGTGGTGGAAAGAAGTGGTTTTCGCCTCCTTAATCTGTAATGCCATCTTACCCCTCACATACACTTGCCTAGGCGGGGGTGCACTTTGTATGACCTGTTTCTCTTTCTCTTTTGTAACAAATCTCACCCCTTCTCATCCCCCCACCCCCAGAGCATCACTCCTTGTGTCGACGCCAGGATGACTCCACAACATTACATAACGGCGTTAGACAATATCAAGGTGTCCTTAAGGAATATAAACAGCCAAAATTGGAAAGATTATGCTGGGCTGGTAAACGGGATGATAAATGCCGTTGCGGGTGATAGGGGCTGCCTTGATGGCTGCAAGTTGAGGGATTCTGGGGCCTGCATTCAAGATTCAATGCTTCAGGGAGGTTTTGGAACAAGTCGGGGTCTGTTTGGCGCTGATCAGCAGCGTTTTTGTGGTCTTACAACTTTTGTGTCTCGATTTTATCTCAATTGCATAATCTCTTAGCGTCGCAGGTCGCCCCCACCCCCAGGTCAAATGGACGCTAAGCGTGCCAAATTCGGCATAGTGTCTTCCCTTACCCAGTCAGCCTCATGTTTCAGAGATGGCTTGTAGCTCCATTCTTATAGAGGAAGCGGCTCAAAAGCACATGGGGAGATTCAGAAAATCTGCGAAACGTACCAAAAAACATTGTACCTTTTCTGCCAGAACCAAATCAGATATAATTCCTGAATCAGGTCACCACAGTTAACTAACGGCATCTTATTCTCCGACAACAAGATTGAATGCAATACTTACAAAACTCCAAAGACAGCGAGTTCCACTGTCGAGAACGCAAAAGCACATGTTGACAACCATTAAAAAATGATACTATGTGAAGCAAGAAGGCATGTGCTGGATGGAAAACCATCCTCCCAGCACCACCCTATGGATAACCATCATAGAATGAGCCACTCCCATAAAACGACTTAGGAGTCTGGGAATAATCTTCAAAGCCAGTTTCAGGAGTCTCCATTGTGACTGGTAAGAGACATCAATTCCAGCACTTCAATATTCAAGTCACCTGCTTGCCAATAACCTTTATTCATGATCTATGAGCGGAAGCTCCCTTGATAGTGTCCTTTTCAAGATTCCCAGCAGCAATATTGCAGTCGTCCAGCCAAGTGCAAATCAAGTCATAAGGCTTGATTTCACAATGCACTTGAATTCACACCGCAATCTGTCCACCATGCCCCACCATCTCTCTGCCATGTTTGTTTTTCAATATGAGCATGTGATCACCAAATCTGTAAAGCACTTGGGGCAGGCGACATTCGCTTTTCAGCATGTTCAGCATCTCCACATCAAACGAACAGGGGTAAACTTTGAATTCACCAAAATTCCCCATATCCTGGCCATTTTCCTTAATTTCTTTCATAAACTTTTTTCTTGCAATGTTTTCTCACAAGGGGATGGTTTCGTTGCTCTTGCTGTCGTTCCGTAGTAATAATTATTGTTCACAAGATAGCTAGGAGGTCAAAGCCATGGTTGTTGGTGCTGTGTGGTGCGTTTCTGCTGCCCAGGTCCAATTTTTGTTGCGTTTCTGTTGGGGTGTCAGATGCCACACCTGCCTTCTTAGAGGACAAGAGGACGAACGGCAACCGATAATTTCACCCTGAACTTATCGCATCAGCGCCAAATGGCATGATCACATCCATTCCCTGGCTTGTGGCAAGGCAACGGAGGGAAAACAAGACAGCTTGAGGTGGACCGCGAGTTTTCCCCAGCATATGTTGGTAAAGGTCGCGCCTGTTGGAAAGTTTACACTTGACAGTGAATTCGCATGCCGAGCTATAAAATGCGCCTGGCTGGCATCAAATTGTTGAATCTCGTTTGAATTTGCGGGTGCGACCACACCCTGGCACCAAAACTGTTATATGAAAGCTAAACATACATTGCCGCTGGCCTCCCACCGCTCTTGACCATTGTCGTTTGTATTACTCGATCAGTAACGCCGTTCAAACGGCCCCTACGCCTGACCTGTCAGGAATCTCCAATTCCCGGATTCAAGCATCGAAGCACGCGGGTGGCGATCGCAATCGCTCGCTCAATACTGCTCCTCTAAATACCCGACGGAATACCCCTTTGGAACGACAAAGGAGGCACACGGCTCTCTGAGACATCAAACGTCATTTGATCAAACCAGCAGCCAAGTGGGGAAAAGTCCGAAGGGCGTCCCTTTGGATTCTGCTCAGCCCCTTAACAGGGGACTTAGGGTCCTGCGGGCCGCCGCTGGGTATGCTCACCACCTCGATCAACACAGGTAAGGCGCCCAGGCCAACCACCAGGGAATCGTGCCCATTAGTGGGACCTCAGCTCTTGAGCCAGGTAGTCCATCCTCTGCTTGATGGAACCCAGCAACGAGTAGGAGCCTTCCACCGGCTTTGTCAGGTCTTGGATGATGAGGACGATGGATGACGCCAGGCCCGCCAGCATGGCGAACACCGTGCGCTGCCCGTTCATGACGTCGCCGGCGGCAGAGGGCTCGAACACGAGAGTGGACACAAGGGATGCGAAGACAAGAGCCCAGAGGATGACCTGCGGAAAGGACAGTGCAATCAGGGAGCACAGCATGCGCAGCAGAGAAAGTCGCTCGACAAGGGTAATCTGGTTCTGAAGCCGCCCGCGACCACGATCGGTCGAGAAGTTTTGGATGCTTGCTGAGGAGGTGGCGCCTGGTTCGCTCATTCGATGGACCAAAGCAGTGCCAATGCCGCACAAGGCGAGTCAAATTAGAGCCAAATGCCCAGTCGCTGTCCAGCATAATTGGAGCCGTCCACCACTCCAAGCATGAAACATGACTGACCACTCCAAGCATGAAACATGACTGACCAGGTCCTCGTGTTCCTAGCCATAGATCATTGTTGCATGTTTCTCCTATTGAACACGTCAATGTCCAAATCATCCCCTGCAGCATGAGAGCGTTGCTCACTTCTGCATATTTCATTAAGAGAGGAGCGCCCATTGTATGAGACTCATACGGGTAGTGTATGAGACGTTGCCTTCTCCACAACAATCCCAGGGACTCTGAAAGGCACTAGCACCACCAAAAACAGTGCTCGACACATGAGGCTACTGGACACGCAGACCAGGGATCCCCCCAACTTGTGCTTCATTACATTGTCCCTGGAAAACGCCGAGTGCATGAGCATGGAACCATAGGCTATTTGAAAGCTCCATCAATGATTCTCCCATTTTCAAGGCAACTTGTGGAGCCAATGTAAGCCTCCGTCACTGGCGACTTCTCCTTTTGCTCTGCAAGGTTGCTGCAAATATGTGCAGCCGCAGGGACAAAATAACAGCAAATATGCTGTGCACAACTTGCTGTGTGATCCCAAATACACAGCAAAGGGTATGGAGTGCTGCAATCCTCTGCAGAAGGTACGCGGCTCATGATAAGCAGAGAACCTAGGCAAGACTCACAAACGAAGCCATCAACACTGGAGCGACTCGGACCTACATCCTTGCATGGTCCAGGTGAGCGTTGCAATGCAATATCCAAGCAGATTCACAACAGTGATGCTTGCTGAACCACAATATAATCTGCAACTTGCCAATAGCGCATGTGGGAAGTACACTCACCCAGTGCATTGGAGGGAGAATTTTGACACTCGCTGCTGCCCTCTTGTTTTGCGCATCGCTCAAAGTTTCTACCATGTTCAACAACCCCTCAACGTCCTTCCCCTTCTTTTGGCATTTGCCCAGCAGCATGGACAGCCCCAGGAGGGGTGAGCCTTCGTAGAATGGTGACACGTTCCGGTCTGTCATGTAGATTTCGTCCTCAATGTATTCCCTGGGCAACAACAAATATGGATCACGTGAACAGCCAGGAAAGCCAGTACAACTCACAGTATTATGCTATTCTGCTAATGAATCTGTCAGTCCTGCTCTTGTTGGTGGTCGATGATTGCCTATGGGTGGTGAAAGTCTTGGAACTTACAACACCACATTCATGCAGTTGATTGGAAGTCATGCACAGTCCGAGCACATACCGGGATACCCAAATGCAAAGCAACCACAAGGAAACCTGTAGTGTGCAGCATCTCAGACATACCCAGACCCAGCGCTTTCAGCCCATCGCAATTCAATGCGCCATGTCCCATAATGGTGTTGGAAGTGACATGCATTGTTGTTTGCCATGGAAATATCGCTGTGAAATTCACAGCACAACGCGAACAGCAATGAAACAATAACACAATAGGAATGGTGAAGACAAAAACCCCCATATCCCCAAAAGCGACGCATCCATTTCCCAATGCGTCAGAGCCCCTAAGCCCCTGCAGAAGTGGACAACACCAACCTGAGATTTGCTGCCACCTCATCAAGCGCTTCCGGCAACTGCACCTTAGCACGGTTCCAGAGGCCTTCCAATGCAAATATCTCGTCATATAGCGATGATATGATCATTTGCTGCCTCTGCAGCAAGGAACAAAACAGATTTCATATTATGCCACACATCCCCTTGGAAAGCCACAGCATGAAAAACAAACTGGTAATTCCCAAGGTGCACAGACTGGTTGTCGAATCGACAAATACACACAGGTGCACTTCAGCATTGTCTGCTGCTTTGCAGCAGACAACACAAACACACGATCATTGTGACTAAAAGGCATATGCTCAAGTTGGTGAGCAGCATGGCATTGAAAAATACAACACCTGTCATTGGAAAAACTGAGCGTTTGTGTCAGGGACAACAGGCAATGACCATAATATGTCCCTCTATGGCTATGGTGCACTTATCCCAGTCATGGTGTAGCCACTCTTCCACACATTTTGACACAGTGCTGTGCACAGCAGTGTCCCTCAGCCAATCCTGCACAATTTGATAGCCAAATACACTAAATTCTTGCTTTAAATGCTGACAAAGATGCAGCCATTCTGCCGCGACGTGGCAACTCGCACTGAACAGGATTCACATGCTCAATTGACATGCAGCCCCCCACACCACACCGCGCCACGCCACACCACATCACACCACACCACACCACACCACACCACACCACACCACACCGCGCCACGCCACACCACATCACACCACACCACACCACACCACACCACACCACACCAACACCACCATTCACATACACATGACTTGATATAACACGATAATCAATCTCAGTATGATCCATGGTGCCATTGATCCATATCAAACCATGGATGCCACATAACTTTTTTGCCTGCTTCCTGCCCGTGTTGATCACCTACCCCATATTGGAACTCGAACGTAGCACCAGCCAGAAGAGAGAATACAAGGGACAGGAAGCTCAAGAACCAAGCATCTTGGCCAGTCAATGCGCCCTTCCACACAAACAAGCAATTCAGACTGATTCCAGGTTTTGGAGTGACATAACATGATGGCGTGCCCTCCTGGGCAGGCACTCAGAGAAATGGCAGAGAGTGGTGTCCTCAGCCACAGTAACCACCCAAATGCACTGTGTGGCATGAAACATTACAGCTGTTGTAGCACTACGCCAGTTTGAGGATTATCATACAGGAACACTTCACAAAGTGCACACAGGCGCACGTTTGGTTCACGCTTGCAGTTCTGCACTGCCAGCCCCAGGCTCCTGCCATAGTACACTTTTGGACAAGCAGGGATTGCAATGCCTCACTATTCATGTCGACGGCAAGTCGATGTTTGGTTTGCAGGACAGCAGCTCACCATTATTCCTTAAGATGAGTGCAGGCAAGAGGAAAGAATTTTTCGGAGAGAAATGGCAGAGGGGGCTCCCCAACAAAGCGCACCATTGACAGTCAGGCCACTCTTTGCCGCTGACAACCTCTGTTGGAATCTTTTGTGACTATGGATGAACAACCATTCTAGCATGTGCTCCCATTTCAACGTTGCAACCCGTCTAATCAGAGATACGTCCAATCAATCCTTTACTGCAAAGAAACGTGCAGCGCACCAACGAATCGTTGTGCATATCCATGCACATCAACACACGGCAGACAACTTCCCCAGCCGGCGCATTCAACGGATCGTCCGCAGCACGGCAGGTAATATTTCGACCTCGTTTCCGCTTGCTGTCAGTGCTTTCTGCCAATCTCACCAGGTTGAACTGCTCCCTCAGCGCAGTGACAAGCTCCAAAATCTTCGGATGGGCTGCGTACGCGCCCGCGGTTAGCACAACGCCGAGGGTGAGGAACTTGTAGGCGGCATCCGCCACCGGAGGCGCCGTTTTCGCTTGCGCCGGCGCCAGCCTCGTGGCGGGAATGCCTTTCGGGTCCGCCGCGCCCAACCGCACATTTCTTCGCGACGATTCGTGCGTCACCAACCTGCAAGCGCAGAAGGATTTGCACAAGGTAAAGACGGCTGCAACGCGCGGGACCCGGCGCTGCACAGGCCCGCTGTGGTTGCCAGTGCGGCTCGTTGAAGGGGAGGGGGTCTCTTAGGGGGCAACCGTGCACGATCAACACGCACTGCCACGATCCACTTCAATCAAAGGCGGCTCCGCCTGCGCGGGGAATCAGCGCAACAATGCCCGCAGCGGTGATCAGCTGCGCCGCTGCTCCGGAAACTGGGTTCACGTATTGGCAAACAGTCGGGTACGGCAATTGACATCCCGCCAACACGCACCTTGGGGCATGATGCAGCGGCGCCCACCGCAGCGCCTTAACCGGCATTCGGCGCGCCAGGCCGACGGCCCTCCTCCCTGAGGGCAGCACGTAGCTGGGTTGAGACACACGGGCATCGATCTCGCGCCAAAGCACAACCCGCACATGGCGCGGGCCGTTGACACGTGGCCATGTTCGCGACCCCAGGCGGGCAGGGAGTGATCAAGGCGACAACGCAGCCTTGGCCATTGCCAGCTGCCGCTGCTTCAGAAGGAAAGCAGCCCTCAACGACCGTGATGGAGGAACGCTGCGCAGACCAACCCGAAAGTGTGACACTGGGCCGCACCTGTCGACAACGCCTTCAGGCCGCGTGGCGCGGGAGCACTGGCGGTCAGCGAGCAAGGCCGCCCGAAGAACATCTGCAGCCGCCGCCACAGCCCGTCAGCGCCAACAAGATCCAAACAGATCCCAACAGGCTACAAAACTGGAGCCAGAGATCGCGACGGGCAGGCAAGGGTGGAAGTGCATGGGTGCCGTGGGAGCAGGGGGAACGGTGGCACGCACTTTGCTGGATTCGTTGTCAGGTGTCGTCCCCGCGCCTGATGAGGCAAAACCGGCAGGCCAGTAGGGGGGGGAGGTGCGAGGAGTTCGGGAGACCGGTTGGGCGGGCGCGTTTGAGCCTTGCGCGTTCCCGGGCCTCCGCGTCTTGCTGGCAGGGGGCACAGGCCGCGGATGGAGCAGCGTTTGGGCAGACGCAGACGGCATGGGTCAGTGAGGTAAAGGAGGTGGGATGAGGGATGGAAGCGTGATTTTTTCTTGGTGTAACCTGCGGACGGGTGACACCATGCCCAAAGCGTGACCGAGCAACAAAACCACCAGAAAGGTTGGGCTTCCACCTCTCTGGAGTACGTCTCATTTGCGTCTTGGGCACCCTGAATGGAGGGGGCCGCGCTGAAACCGGGTAGATGAAAACTGGGCAATAGGTCTTGCACGATTTGATGCGAGGAAGGGAGATTCCAATGCGCATTCCATACAAGGAAATAGGATACTTGCAGATATGGTCGCCATACATAGCGTCGAAGGTAAATTGTGACAGCTGTGCCTTGTGACAAGTCTGGCCACCTCACCACAGTTATACGCCTATCACAGAGACTCTGGCACAGTGATGCAGTTAATATGGGACAGAGGGGTATACGACCATATCCTTTGACGATATCCCCATCGGCATTGACTCAACCACAGATCCCATGAGTAGGATCGTATCCACTTTATGGGACCTGATCCCATGCACAGATTCTGTGGTTTAGTTGATGCCATTTAGGATGTGTCAATTGATAGTGTTTGCTCTATCGTTTGGTCCACAATTGGGCCGCTCAGTAAATGAAAAGTTGTAGCGCAGTTTGATTGCATAACGGTTGGAGCTGACGTATTGGAGGGAATCGACCAAGGGGAGACACACAGCACCCCGCTAGGCCACCCGAACGCAGAACAACGATGGTACGCAAAGGGGCAACAGAACATCTCTTGAGGCACATAGACAGAAAAGATCGACTTGTGTACTGTGGAAACATGCGACTAGAATGACCAGCGTGGATGTGCGTGCTATCGTGCATGTTGCACACAGGCACAATTGACTACCTGGGCGCCTAAGTACAGTACACGTACGCTTAGTAGTGCATTTTCATGTTGTTGTACAATGTACAATGCGCCCCCCTTCCTCGATCCCCCCAGAACGGTGCGGTCATCATGGAGCGGCTATCGCGTACAGTATGAGGAATAACATGCGTGCAAGCCTGAATGACAATGCATTGCCAGGGTTTTGTCTCCTTCACAAAGCATAGGCGTGTTCCGGCGCCCTCATCATCAGTTATCCAAATAAGCGTCCTTGACGGTTGGTGACGCAATGGCGACGGGCTGGAGTGAATTACGGAAGCATGCACTTGCGCATTCTCGTGTTATGGGATGCCGAAATCAAGCGTGGACACTTAGGGAAGGATCCGTGGGCGTCATGCAGCCATATTAGGTTGCAGAACTTGGAAATGACGGGCGACTTCACACAAGCCGCAGCACCATGAGCGAGTGAATATCGTGGGCGAAAGTCAAGAGTCGTCAGTTTCTGTCTCTTTGGACTCCAAAGGGCATGACAGCGACGCTTCCAAGCTCTTTTTCGTGACAGATCCATCTTTCTGTGCCACCCTCACAGCCTAGTACCCCATTCCTGTGGGCTTTCATAGTCATCCTTAAAACTCCAGCACCCAAGGCCTGGCAATGTGTCTGCACTGAGTTTTCGTTGTGTACCGTATGTCACCATAGTATAGTACTATTGCTGTGACATGTATAACATGCCTTAAAAGGCAGAAACATCGTGCATGTGTGCGTAGATGTCCGTGGATGTCCCATGGATGCAGTCGCCTGTCAGTTCGTGCTCATCACAATTTGCGCTCCAGCTGGCGGCTAGAAACAGCGCCGGAGAGAACAACTCTGTTGCTCGAAGAACAGAGTTGCCGTCTGCGGCTTGCTGTCATGGCGGTGGGGCATGCAGGTGGCCCGACAGTTGGAATTCCAGAATGAAGAGCTAACTGTATGTCCTAACCCCATGATGTAAACGTCGCTTGCTCAAATTTCATATTGCCTTATCCACCGCTGGAGTGGCCCTGTCCCATTATGCCTTAGCCGCATGTCGCATATGGCTACTCTGCTGCATTGCAGAAACGCACTCGCACATATATAGGAAGCAATATGGTCGATGCGTACGATGGCATTTGAATTCTTCTTAGGGAAGACACTATGCCGATTTTGTCACGCTTAGCGTCAATTTGACGTTAAGCTCAGCCCCCCCCCCCTAGCGTCAATCCTTATGTCGAAGCCTGGATGACTCCGTAACATTACATAATGATATGGGGCAAATATGTTGTGTTTTGAAGAAAGAACAACAGCGAAAGCTGCAGCGATGTTACTGGCCTGAAAATTGAGATGCAAAAGCCATGGCGGATGATTGGAGGCACTTTTGAATGCCGCCAACTGAGATTTAACGGGGCTTTTTCTGAAAACTAAAGCTCCAAAGGCAGTTTGGGGACAAGTCACAAGTTCTGGCCACTCTTCAGCAGCGTTTTGGGTATCTTCAGAGCTTATTTCGATTTTTTCCAATTACATAATCTCTTAGCGTCACAGGTCTGGACACCCCACCCCACCCCTTTCTTAGCATCAAATTGACGCTAAGCGCAACAATTTCGACATAGTGTCTTCCCTTAGCATTTAGCGTGCACACCCTGAACCAAAATGCCAAATCAGTTGAAAGCCAGGGATGTCGGCATAAAGACGGAGCAGTATGTCCCACAAGGGACGTTTATCCAGGTGAACATCTATGCAAAGCAGAGGTTCCATCCCCGCAGCTCTCCGAAGCCCATTTGAATCTGTCGCGTGTTCCCCGACACTGTGGTTCGGCCCTCACCCATGACGCGGTGCATGCAAAGCCGAATGAGGATAGAGGGTCGGCGGAGCGAGCGGGGGACCTCAGGCGCAGACGTTATCCCCAACTGCTTGACCCAGGCATCCTGTCGCCGCGATGGATCCTGGGCTCTTCGAGATATCTGTGGAGAGAATCAAGCGGCAGCTTGTGCTTCAGGTAACCTCTGGTCGTCAGAATTCGACATGGGGCCATCTTCGAGCAAGCGCCGCTGCGCGTGGAGTTTGTTTCTGGGTGCCTGTGTACAATTCTGTGGCAGCTTTCCAGGCATTTTGCCTGACGAGATGGAGCCAACAACGTGGCTTCACACCCTTGACAAACCACTTGAAAACTGTTGAACGCGGTGGCACGTACCGCTGTCCAGGGCGAAGAGGACGGCGACGATAGCCCCGAGGTGCTGTGGGCCATGCATGCTCAGGGGTAAGCATCAGCGTCACCCAATTGCTCGGCTGCCAGTGCGCCAAAGCTGCCACAAACACAGGAAGTCCGCTAAAATCACCAGGAAACAGAGATGCGACAATCCCCCAAATGTACGCGTGCCAACCAGTGCTGAATTCGGACATTGGCTGCTTCTCCACAGGGTAAACAGGCTGCGTATGTTCGCCCCCAACGTTACCCAATTCGATCAATGACTTCACTGCAACATGAACGCCCTGCACAGGTTCCACATATAAGCAAAATATCAGGTAGTGGCTCCATAACAAAATCACTCTGGCACCCAGTCATGCCTGATGATGGCTGCTCCTGGCCTTGTGCCTGTGTTGACACAGCATTCCATGTGCCCTCCCCCCCCCCTTCCACCCTGCCCAAGCTTCTGAAATGTGGCATTCTTGACCAATTGGTTCAGGCATGGATATCATGCTTGCGACATTCAGAAACTGACCAAACAGCTCAAGGCATCTTCAAGGAGATATGTGGATAGCAATGTTTGCACTCTCTATTGATGATGAAAATTTGGAGATGCTTCCGTGTCGAGACCCTTGCGGCAGCAGTGGGGAGCCCAAGCTGTGTTTTGCCACCTTACACAGCTGCCGTAATGGCTGCAAAGCCACTGCAATACTCACCGTTTCTTGATGTGATGAATTGGACCAGGCTGTGCACTGCACAATGTATTGGTGTACCTGTTTTTAGGGATGCTGTGTTGAACATCATATGACACGTAAACTTGCCCAGATGTAAGACAGAAACAGTGGTCTTGGCATATGGCTCACCCTTTCTGTTGAGGACACACTTTCATACCCCTCGTTATCTCGATGCAGTGGGCAAACTCTGGGCACTGCTTCTTCTCCAACCCATTGTGCTGCATACCTATTCAGCTTTGATTTTGCCCTGCCAGAACTTTCCTGGCTGTTGCTGCTGGCTCACGTGCTGCAGTAATGACCCTCTTGGAAGGCCAGCCCTGCCATCTAAAACCAGGGGATCTGCTGGCGGCAGCAGCAAGCAGAATAACTGCCATTGCTTGGCTGAGTGTCGTGGCGCGGGGACCACAGCACTCATCTGCAAGGGAAAGCTTGGCAAATTACATTATGGTGAGGGAAAGCACAAATCCTGTCTTATACCTTGTCTGAAACTCATGAGAGAGATCTGCTGTTTTGCCGGTCAGACAATATCAGATAATATACCTAGATGCCATTTTTTTTCCCATGTAAACTTGGCTGTTGTATTGCTCTTCCACAAAGCACTGTGAGATGCCATTCGGCCACTGGACAAGCAATGAAGTTGTCACATGATCTGAACTTAATGGAGACTCGTGGCACTGCCAGTATGCTGTTGTTGTTGTCGTTGGTGCATAGATTCCTCACAAAATGTTTGTCCTGTTGCCAAGGTGGGCACAGAGGCTGGACACTTCATGGTGTATTTCATGGATGGGGTTGTGGGAGTGCAAAAGAAGCTTCACGATGGTCCGATTCTGAATATACGATCACGACCATTGTGTCAAGGTGTGGTGCAAGGACTCCCAGCACAGGCACATCCCATGAATGTCTGGAAGGAATGATGAGCATGAATTTGCGTTTGTGTTGACTTTGGAATTTGGATCTCGAACTGGTGCATTTTGTAGCATTGAATCGCCACTTGCCGCTTGGTTGCCTTTGCGTGAGCTTGTGGGCAAATGAATGTCCTTTTTCCCTAGATGTATAAAACAGAAAAGGGTCAGCATGACTGGGCTACCGAATTGACAGTGGCTGGTGGAATAGGCCAAGTAACCTTCAGATCTGGCTTGAGCATTGCGGCCTTAAGTTGTCCCTCGGCTTGCACTTGCAGCATCCTGCAAACCACAAGTGCTTGTGCCCACTGTCACCAGGCAGCAGCGACACTGGGTCGCAAGCTGGTCAGGGAAATGCCCTCAGCAGTGGAGGGGAGGATAAAGAAGACGTAACTGTGGTGTTCAGCGACACCCTCGTTTCCATACAAGTCCCAGAACTTCTCGCCCTGCTCAAGTTTCAGGAAGCTTCTCCTGGCCAGATGCTGAGTCCAGCCTTCAGTCTGAACCATGCGAAGTATGGCCAGTCCAAGAAGATGGGCTCCCGGTGCGATGGACTCTGCCTCGGCCCCCAGTGTCCAAGCCTGAAGGGTCTGCTCACCCAACGACCAGACAAGGACATTCACCCAGTTGGGATTGTGGCAGGCAAGATTGTGTACTGCAAGGCAGAATAATCTGACATAGATATGGAAATAACTAACAATGATGGTAATAATGGTGATAAGAACAGCAACAACAACAAGAGTAGTAAAGGTAACGATGTTGATGAGAATGAGAGTACCACTAATGTAATAGTAATGATAACAGCGGTAATGTTGTTATATTTACACAGATGTACTCTCTAGTATTGGAGCTGCTGACAGTGACACGGCACCTTTTATGTTCATCACTGCGAGGATGCTGGCTGTCATGTTTCTGTTCCTTTGCTTCGCAAACTGTTTGGCACTGGTTGCAAGTGCTGCATGTTGATATTGGGCGATGGTGGTTGCAGCATTGACTCTCCCAGTGAAGAAACAGGGTATGCCAATGCACGCAAGCCTGAAACGATGTCGAGATCCCAGTAGTTTTCTACATCGCCTTTCAATTATTCCCCAGTTTGCAAAGACAGTGCATTGGCAAGTGCTGCACAATGGGAAGTTGCACAGATGGCCGCTTCAGCATGCTGACACAAGAGGACAGCCTGGCAGGGAGTGATAAAGAGAATCTCAACAATGTTTTTACAATATTGTTGAGTACCTTGTCTACAAGAATAGCAAAGGCAATAGTTTTTGTGTTGAAAAGAGGGGACTAGTGGGACAGATCGCACTGTGGTGCTGCTGCTTGTGAGGCAGTCCTTAAAGCTACTCGTTTCATGTGACCTATAGCACCATTTTCTGCTGAACAGGTGGACATGCGCCTGCGATTGCATTTCTGGAAGCATCAGGGGATGCAGGAGGTAGTGGATGGGGTGTGGTGAAGTCGCTGGCATCCACCGTGACCTTCGGGATTCCAGGCAAGGCTTGGAGTGCAGGAAAGAAGGCTTGGAGGAAAGGTGTGCAAGCGCATCAGGAACCCTGCTACATAGGTTTGTTGCAATCTTGTCATGACCATCCTGTTGTTGTCTGCTTGCGCTGTGCACTGTGCCTGTTGCACTAAATGGCAAGATGCAAAATCCAGAGCTTTGCAACTGTGGAAATGCAATCATCGGATTGTTTACTGACTTGATCTTGGGAACAGTTCAGGAGCATGTACACATGCTATACAGTCTATTCGACATGTATGTTTTGCCAAAACATAAAGTATCAGGTTAAAACAGGAAGTTGTCCTCTATGCATCGGTGGGTGCAAATTCGAAGCGCTTGTTGAGCATTGTTTATTTGTCTACTTGTTTATTTACTACCTTTGTTTCAAATGACCTGTTTGTTATACAAATCACGCGAGTGGAGGTCAAAACCTGCAAGTCCGAAAATTCGACCAAAACAAAATCAACCCAGCATTTCGATAGCTATCTGTAGAGCCCTTAAACGTGGTAAACAGTGGTGCCGTTCTTGAGATATGCTAAGAGGAGCATAGGCGCCACTTTTCCTTTCATCGGGACCTAGAGCGGGGTATAAGGAGCTAGTCTTCCCCTTTAAACGAGCTAAGTCGTCTCTAGGAAATATGAATGGCCTGGTGGTTGGTATACAATGAAGTTTCGGTTAAATTCAAAACTGAATCCACAGAGCAAAAGATGCAGGCTTGCTGCAGATTTTTGGATGTCGAAAGGAATTGTGCGTGTGTTGTGGCTAAAGGCCAAAAGGCACCTAGATTAGTGCAATAGCATTGATCTAACTGGTGCAACAAGGTTAGGAAGGCTGTGCATACTGACGCTAACCCGAGAATGGCCTAGGCTGGTGACAACATGGCAATTCGTTGAAATTGACAATTTCAAGGCTTGAGTCAACAAAGCAGAAGAGATGGTCCGCAAAGAATGTGACTGCAATGCTGCCGAATTCTGGAAAGTTTGTAGCTTTGCCTATTTATTGCCTACAACAAAGCTCTTGCATAATTGCGGGCAAATAGGCTGACACACATGGGGATAAGGTGAGCACAAAATTACAGGAAGTGAGGCCCTGACGAAGATATATAGGGACGCTTTTGTTAAGGTTGTGCAGGTCCTGCTGTATGATGATGAATAATGTAACCAAGATCCCTATTACCCAAAATCGACCAAGGAATCCGAAGATGATGGCAGATTTACTAATTGAGTTGATCTTGCAAAGTTATGGCAAATTTGTACTTCCTCCGTCCCATATTAATTGTCGTCTATGATTTCGAGACGTTATTTCTCCATCGTGCTTGCATTACTTTTCCATAAAACTTACCCCAAAGTTGTGCTTGGGAGGTTGGAGTGTACTATCAAAATTTCAAGTCGAACCATTAAGTTTTGAGGATTTGGCAGTACGTTGTTGCAAGGGTCCTCTGGCCAGAAAAGGGTCGTTTTGGGACGTTGCACTGAAAAACAGGCGTTTTGGCAGTTTTTAGGAGCACTCCTTCGCGGCAGCGAAACAAACCCGCCCTTGCAAAACTACTCACGCCGTTCAGAAGGGAGGTCACTAGGGTCCTTGCGAAGAGGTAGGCAATAGAAAACGCGTTTCGAATGCATTGATCGTTGAACTCGTAGTGGCTTGCAGCATCTATTTAGGCTTGATCTGATCGATCGAAATGACGTTCCGGACCCAGATTATTTTGGTCAGGGCTTTTCGAGCTCCTTCGCCGCCATCAAGGCAACTAAGGAGGTCTCCTAATCCTTTTACAAAGGAGCTTGAGATGGTGATGGCTATCACCTCGATATAGCACGAACAATTAGTGATCTAGCAATTGCCATGGGAATGGCGATTTGTCCTTGTTTCGGAACTTCAGAGGATTGGGTGCAGGAGGATGGCCACAAAGGTGAATTCAGGTCTTTTGGAGTGATGGAGGCTTGCTAGGTTCCAATGGATTGTGTACTGTGCACAAGCATCAGCCACTGTATCCACAAACAATGGCGATTTTTGGACTTCCAGATTAGGGGCCACGCAAGCCCCAATTCAAGCATCAACTGAGGCGAAATGTCCGAGCAAGGCTACCAAACAGCCTTGGAGTGACAACACACATTGAGCCTAGGCTTCAAGGTTGTATACATTGGCCTTTCCGCTTGTTGGAGGTCCGCCCACCGGAGATCGAGAAAATCGGCGATTTCTGGCATCGTCAACCCTGCCACGATGGCCGCCTAAAACAAGGATAAAGCACGTTCGAGTGTGTTTGGCAAGTGCTATGCCACGTGCCGGACCCCATCCTTTGCCGCAGCGATGGCAACCACTGGCGTTGCAACTCCCAAGCACGGCAGCACCCCCGAACCAGGAACACGCATTTTTTGGACCGTGTCAAGGCAATTTGGGGGGCCAGCTCATAGGGGTGAAGACTAAATGTTTTATTGAAAATTCGAACCTAAGGGTTTAAGATCCAATCTTTCCAATTCTGGCCCCCATTTGCAGTGTAGATGCCGTTTTCATGATGAGATTTCTCTCTGAAATAGACGATAATTAATATGGGACGGAGGAAGTGTAATGGACAGGACTTATGGAACAGAGGTGGTATCTATTTATCTATCTCAGCATGTAATTCTCCATTAAAAACACCTTGTCCTCGTTGCCTTGTTGGTGCAAGGGCTACCTTCATCACGTTTTTCTAAATGGAGTCGGAAAGATTGTCACAATCAAATTTTGATGAGCGTGGGCATGCTGGCTACTGTGCTGACAGGTGCATCGTGGTGGTCGCAACAAGAGGCTGATGATAAGCGCATGGTGCCGACAATGCCAACAAAGCTTCGGCGTTCCCTGAGGGATGACTCGCGGGAAGTCTCGTCACTCGCAGTTGCCCCAGGGTGAGCTGAAGAGCAAATTTTGTACTGAAAGCCCCCTTTTGTCGCTCTGGCATGCCCAGCCCTACAAGGGGTATCGCATGTGCCTTAGAGTGCAAGTTGAAAGCACAGTGTAATATGCCCATTATTGTCTATTTGTTCATCATTGTATTGCACTTTTCGTTCAAGTGTACAAAGCACAGCAGCTCCAGAGGGATGGGCCAGGAGTACGTCAGAACGCCTGTCTTCAACACATTCTCACAGACAGCGATTTGAGTCTTGCTCATTGATGTCTGTGCTGTGAATTGGTTGTGGTTTATGCAACTAAGCATTGTAACAGCACTTTGGCTGAATGCCGGCAAGTTGATGCGAAGATCCACCCCTGGCCTCGTTTTCACAAGGGCCATGAACGTACAAAATGAGCATTGCTGGCAGCCAGGATGAACGAAGAAGGAAACAGCTGTGAGAAGTCTTGGTTTTCTAAAGAACCACACTCCTGCAGTGATATTCATTGTTGTAGCCGGGGCATAGCCAAGACAGTTCAGCTGAGTTCCAAACGTATGTGTCACATGTAGCAAAGTGCCACACGGAGTGGAGTGCTAGGCCATCGAAGGGAGACTGTTCGTGGCAGTAGCTTTAATTGTCAATGTTTAATGATAACAAAACGCTGTTCTCGCCTAGCTGAAGGCGAGTGCTGTCGCTGGCTGCAGCCGATTGTCCTCTTAGATTTCAGAATACCCCGTCGAAACCCAACAGGCCAGAATGTGGTTGGTACGCATATGTCTTGTCAGCCAAGGTGTTGAGTCCTCCAACATTGGAGCAATCATGCTGAGCAGCCATTGCTCTTCTCTTGTCACATCCACCATGTAGCGGTTTGGCACCAGTGTTGCATTGCATTGCACTGTGCATGGACTTGCTGAGTTCAAGATGCAACAGAGCCACTTTGTGTTCAGGTGCCGCTTGGCCGCAAGTACAGACAATCGTGGCAGAGTTGTTCTCATCGAACTGGCCAAGATGGTGGTGGTTCGGATGTGGAAGGTAGGGTTCTATGTCGCAATCATCCTGTGCAGCCGGAACATATCAATGCTGTCCATCCAGGGATGTACGGAGGCCAGGTTTCCAACAACCAAACAGTTAAGGAAGCAGAGAAGTTTGCCAACGCAGATTAGTCCTGTAGATTGTTGCGATATCAAGATTTTGATGCTGAGTCATTCCATGCACTGAACGAATTCCACGCTTCTGATTCTGAAACTGTAGCCCTAGTCTGATATTTGACCAAACAAATATTGGCCCTGTGAGCCTCCACAAAATATTCACAATGCTTGTGGGGTGAGGGTTGAAGCTGCAGAAAAGATCTGTCATTGGTTGCCTGCCCCACAAAAAAGCACAGTGTGCTGAGATGCATCATGTGTGCAGCGATGTGCATGGCACATGCTGACGCAATAGGCACGCTCACGCTCTGAACACGTTGTCCAAATACGCGCACTGCTCAAAATGCAGTATATGGAATGTGATGCTTGGTTACAACGACTTGACATGTGTGCAGGGGTACAGAGAGGCGCAGTGTGCCTGGCTGACGTGCACAGACCACGCCTCAAACGCCACAGATATGAGAGGCGGCTCAACAGCTGCCAGCGCAAAGGCCGCTGCTTCCCCTCTGCTGTGCTTGGCCATTTGCGCCCCGCGTCGGGACGTCATCGAGGTTTGGCCAATGCGGTACGGCGATCGGTTATGCAGCCTGCCAGTGGGCCCAGGTCCCCTGCTTCTGCAGGTGACGCCGCCGATGGGCCTCAAGGACCGTGCGTGGCCAGTAGACTGCTACTGCCTCGAGGTGGACTCTGGGCACCTGTGGAGCGTGTCAGACCGCGTGTCGGCCTTGCTGAGGAGGTCACGTGCAAACAAGGGTGCCTAGCACAGCCTGTGGCATGTTTTGTGCGGTGGCGATTATCCAGAGATGGCCTTGTCCAAAGAAGGCACCGTGGCATCATGCAAAGAGCAGTTCACGATTCGTGGACCAAATGCGGTCGATGAAACTTCTGAGCTGGCAAGGCAACCTCATTAGGTTGCCACGGCCTTGGAAGGCTCCGTGAATGGCAGCCAGGGCGGGATGGACGGTGTGGATTGCCACGCCTGTCTTCCGCCCTGGGCCAAAGGCAGCCAAACTCCTGTTCGCATTTGGGGCGTCCCACTCTGCCAGTATGCGTTCTTGCGAGTCGTCAATGCAAGTCGTCCATGATGTATTGTACTCTTGCATGGCAGTCGTGCACTTGGCGCCCGTATATATGTTCAACGCTTGGTTTGTGGTGGTTGTATTGAATGCACGAGCGAATGATCTGCCATGGGATGCTGTCTTTCGGTTGGTGTTCGGCAGAGAAACCTCAGGAGGGGGCCAGCTTGCTCCCAAGTCGTCACCACAGTTTCTTTTCGCCTTAGCCCACCCGCGCAGTAAGGCTTCCAGCTGGCAACGGCGCTCATTTCATGCAGACTTCCTGCCAGCAGAGGGGTTCAGGCATCCTTGGGTTTAGTGTGTTCCATAGTATAGGTGGTGTTTTCTCTTGGAGTTGTGTCACGCAGCTTGAGTACTGTCACGCTGTTGCAACTCGTTTTGTTCTGCGTCCCTTTGAAATCAATTTAATGTGTTCATACAGGTTGATGTGCCCCGCAGGTCAACCTGTGAATTTTTCATTTGCTTCTTCTACAGCTCTGTTCTATCTACTGAATCAACGCGGGTAGTGCTCCTATACATATTTGCAAATGTGCGCAGGACTCCTGCATAGAATAGACACACTTGTTGGATGTACGGTCAGTGCAGTTTCGCCTGCCTGGCAGGACCAAGGTGTTTGTTTTGGAATCCTTTTGTCCCAAGTGCTGTCAATACCCCTTCATCTCCTTGTAGGCTCCTGGACGCATTTGTCCATGATGGAAATTTAACTGGAGGAGCAACGCACACACAAACGACAGATGTCCGCTTTGGTCTGATGTGGCTATCAGTTTGGACACCATCTGCCATCAATACTGGTTGGCATGGCTGTGGTGTAGCTCGATTCGCACGCGACTAATTGGCTGGGCTGAGTTCTGTTCAGCGGCCGCTCGTGGTCCTCCATCCTAACGGCCGTCCCTCCGTGGGACAAAGCCCTGAGGACAGTTCCAGCCATTCACGGTGTGAATATTTCTCGGCGGCGTGATCAGCGATCCACAGAGCTTGGAGACGCAGTCTGCAGAAAGCGCAAAGACAGGACGGCAGTGAGACATGCAAACTTCCACCTACCAGACTTGCATCGCCAGCTACTAGAGACTGTGTCACATCAATGCTCAGTCTAGAGAATGGACTGGCTTGCGGCAGCACCACTGCATGACGTTTGAATCACCAACACGTGAGCTGATCAATTGCACGTTCGCGTAATTGTTGCTGCCTGTCAAACGCACGACACCGCGCCAACCCACCCGAAATGATTTCGATCTGGTGGTCCTTCTCGACCAGCATCGTCCTCAGTTTCACTATCTCCCGCTCCATGGCCTTCATCTTGGCGTGGTGGAAGGAGGCCTCCTGGGCGCGCGCGGCGCGCAGCTCCGCCAGCTCCTCCTCGCAGGAGCAGCCGAAGTTCATGTAGGCGGTGGGGATCATGGGCTGGATCTTGATGCCACTGGCGGGTGGGCGGACCGACTCCGTGGCGACGTATGGGATGCCGTCGTAGGCCTGGCTCGCCTGCCGGAGGGATGCGCAGTGTGTTCAGGCGCCTCTTCAGGAGGTGGTGCACAAGAGCACGACGAAGGCAATGCCGCATGTGCCCAGTGCATCGGTTTCGATAGAGGTTGGACGGATTTCGTGAAGAGGATAGCTTTGCCAGTGATGAATCCGATGTATTATTCCAGGTGACTCGTGCGTGACACGAAACTAATGACAAAAAATTGAGAAATTGCTTGAATGATGCCATTAATGACTATGAATTACCACAGTATTGTGCTGAGCTTAGACTGTAGCGAGCTGTCTGCTTTGTCTGATGAATCAGTACGTGAGCCGCCGCTTTGGCCTCTTGAGCATGGGCAGCGCAGCGTCGCCATCGAGAAATCCAGCGCTGCAGCTTGTGCCTGTCAGAATCAACTCACCTGTAGGCCTGCGTTCACCTTATGCTGCCTGGTGGGAGGCGGCATGCTGTCTTGGGGCCCATTCGCCGAGCCACCTGAGTACGTTAATGCCACTGCGGCCATCACAAAACTCCATCTACGCCGGAACATCCATTGCTTTCTGTAGCTACAACACGGCCGTCTTTCATTAATGGCTACAGTAGTACAATTGAATTGTTTCATTGTTGGACAGAATCACTGAATAAAACAATGGAGACTGCCATGATGTATCATGTGACTTGAAAATTCCACATGCCCCAATACCGTAATAGTACAAATTGCCCCCCGTGGGAGGTAACTGCCGAGCACATACAATGTTTCTGGACATAGCATATTGGAAGCGAAGTGAACCATAGCACAATAATAGACAAATTCAAGTCGCTAATATATGCCAATGAAATTACAACAATAAGATCTTAAAGGTTGCACCTGTGATGGTTGCCATTGCTGGACCTTGAGAAGGTGAGTTTCCGTCGTTAGTCATCGCATCATCCCCTGCAAACCAAGCAACACCGTCGTGGGGCCGATTGCTTTGAGTGCGTCAAAAAATCATTGTGGAATTCCTGGCTTTCTTTCACCCGCTGAATTACATTCATTACTTTGGACACGTACCTTTGAAGAATTGCCCACAAGATCGCTCCTTCAAAACGCACAAAATGTAAGCATATTTTTTTTGCGAATTGCAACATGAAGGCATGGATGGAGCTTACAAGACTCGCTCCTTCTGACAATTTGCCGCAACTTACCTGGAACCGCGGAAGATTGGTCGCGGTTCTTCACACTGGGTTGAGGAGTGAACATGCCAAGCGGAAAGTTGGGCGCGGAAGTGAAGAGTGGGGGAGTGGACTCCCCGGCGCGCGGCTCCTCTATCGAGGCACGCACAAAAGACGATTCAGTGAACAAAAGCCAAACTGGCTCGGGGTTCTGCATCATGTCCGTCTTATCTTGTCGCATGTAGAGGTGCGTGCCTAACGACTGAATTGTCGCAACATGCAGATATGCTTCCCGGGAGCGAATGCATTGCCCTGAGAGTCACCCAAGGCGTCCATACTCAAGATCGCTAAAATTGGTTGCCTTGAAACTTTAGCAATCTGTCAGTCAATGAAGAAATCCCACATATTAATGCGATGAAGCAACTACCAGTCCAAGTTTCAAAGCTTCATAAATTGAACGGGGTTTTCCCCAGCGGGAATTGCTTCTCAATTACTTGCACCAATCATTCAATAGAAAGTATGAATTCGCAAGCAACTGAGGCTGAAGGCCAAGAGCCAAATGGCGGTGGCGGCAGAAAGCTGGAGCCGAAAACAAATGAGCGCTCCTGCGCCCTCCAACGAAATTAGTATTCGTCAATCCACCTTGCTGCCACGCGGGTCGTTGAGACAAAACCATGCTTGAGAGTTACGTGAACACAGAGAACACCAAAACTGCAAACAATAACAGTGTTGTATGCCGAAACGCTCTAAAGCGTGGAACGACTTCCTGTTCCATGAAATATAACTCCATCAGATGCCGTCCGTGGTCAGAAAACGGTACCAAAAGTCAACGAATGGGCGCCACGGAAATTTCCCGTGCCTTTGCAAGCGCGTGTGTTGCAAGGCCCGCCGAGAAGCAATGCGCAAACTGTTGCCGTCTCCGAAGGCGCTCTGGATGCCGTCCCGTCCGGAAGACCCTCACCCAACCACTCCAGTTGATGATTTGTGGACAATGTGCAGCGAAAGAGATTCCGATGTGACCTTGCATTTAAATGCGGGGTCGCGCTGAGCAAATATCGCTGAGCAGCCATTTCTGGACGGTAGATAAATTACCCGCTGTCGAGAATATTGTGCTAATGATATGTTTTTATATTTCTTGGCGTTACTATCAATTGCCTTGCCGAAAAGCAAGTATGGGTATCGAGAATGCCCTTTGTCAAGAGATTAGCTGCTTTCAGGGAAGGTAGTCAAATTATTATTAAACTAAAATATTAAAATTATTAAAATTATTAAAATTATTATTAAGAGCCATTTTTTTCCGACCACAGATGCAACCAAATGGAAAGGCAACGCCATAAGTGGTCCAATTATATATATTCAGCACGAAAAGGGGGTTCAGATCTGTCAACCTATTTGCGCCGCTGGCCTCGACCGGCTGGCTGTGTACATGTCAATGTAGATCTGCTGGTGGAACAGAAGACGAGCGGTGATTAAACGAAGTTTCAGGAAAATCCTCCTGCAATGCGCAATATCCATGCAACCGCACTGCTGTGGACTGCGCAACTCCAATACAAACAGCATGGGGCAAAAATAAGTTGCGGCGGGGTAGTTTGCAGGGATGTGTGTGAATATCCAGCAGATTGGCTATTTGAAACTTCGATTGAATCGGGCAAGATTTTCAAACATTTTCCTGAAACACGTACATTAGCTGCATAGCGGGGAAAAAGGGCTTGAAATCCGAATACGCATGGTGCGCACCCTAATCATTGGCGTTGGTGCATCGAGCATTGCCACCTAAAGAAGCCCATTGCGCGTAGAAAAGTTCTTCTCCCGTAAATCAGCACTTCTCTAAGGCAATGCAGTTAAAGAAAGGAACAAATTGAGGATATGGTCTTTTCACATTGTATAAGCTGACACACAAGCAAATGAGAGCTGAAGTACCAGCACGATCAGTGAACAGCTCGAACGCCGGGTACATGGGCTCAAAGCAAATCACAAATTGGCAGATACACCAATGCCATAGAGAGCCTGAGCTACTGAGACACCGTGTTCAACGCACCAGGTGCATTGGTATTTTCGCCTTGCCTACCTCCTTGCAGATCTCCATTTTGAAGAATATCGATAGGCGCCGGCGCCTCCTGAGTAATGAAAAGTTGAGTGTGCGTGTTAGGAAAAATATGCAGTGGATTCAAAACATTCTGAAAGGGCAGTGAAGCAGCACCTGAAATAACAAGCAGCTCGTATTCGCACAAGGCATTGCTGACGAGTTCCCTAAAATGTACCTGGCCGTGCATTTGTCCCAATCACGTGTGATTATTTATTTCTGAAGCTTTAATGATCTGGCGTTTCCAATAGATTCGGCAATGAATATACATGGATTTGGGTACAAAATATAGCATCGAATAGATCTTCATCCAAAATATTGAGCGACATCAATGGGGCATTGACCCGCGACTAACTAAACCAGTGGCCTGTCGGTTTGAGGTCCCACTGCACACAGAGTGCGCATTTCACGCATCATCAACGAAGCATTCTGTGTTCACAATACCGGAATGGATATCCTTGTACCAGCTAAAATTCAACGGTAAACCCATGATGAACATTGTATGGCGTTGTAGTCGACGCTAATGACGAATACTCAGGTTGGCATCATGGCCGAAATTTATCTCGTCTATTTGTAATGGACAGATTTTGGTGAACACTTTTGC